TGGCCCATTTCTGGTTGACAATGTGTAGAAAAATCTCAAAGCTAAGAATATGCTGCATTTATATAATAACTGTAAAGAATGTAATTCCTATAAATGGAAAAATCTCAAGGCCTGTATCTGAGCATGATTTGGCTTGCGACTCGGAGGAATACTGAACTGCACTGTGGAGGTTTGGTGGATAGTAAATAAGATCTAATTATTTATTAAAGGAATAAATTTAAACTAACCTCATGAGGCTGTTTCTGCTAGGTGTTGGTTACCAAGCATTCATCTAGTTGCAAAGACAAAAGCACTTAAGGGATGATATGACAACTAGAGAACCAGGATTTTTTTTTTTTTTTTTTTTTGGAAGTATGTGGAGTTCCAGAAAGTATACTAACAGTGTTTAGACTTTTTGAAGTCCAATTAGAAGTCTGAAATACTTAAATATTAAAAGGGGTGGCTCTATCTCAGGTACTTACGTTAAATAGAAAGTTGAAAAAAAGGAAATTACATCACATTGTCAAATAAGGAACAGCTAGCTGGAGCAGATGACTTGTAGTGCAAAAATGTGCCCCTCCTCCTGTGAATTGCTTCTGAGATTTGTTAAAGATATGTGGTGGCAAGGTGAGCAAAAATAGGTTGTGGATTTAAGGTAGCCACATTTCTTCCCCTCCCAAAAGTGGTAAGTAGGTCTGACTCTTCTCCCCCACCCCCCCTTTCCCAATTCTTACAAGCAGTATATAAGCTGCTCGTCAAGAGTGTTGCCTTTGTAAAAACTGTCCAAAATTTGTGCAGGCATTCAAAAGTCTGTACGGCAACTTGCTGTATTCCATACCCATTAAGTGAAACATTCTAGAGCATGCTTTGGTCTACTGTGCATACCAGAAAGGTTTTCTTTATTATGAACCTGACTCGCCTCAAATACTTCGTTGCATTGGGACTGGGAGAGCAGGGAACAGAGTAACAAGATTCTCCATGTGATCAATGATAGATGTTGAGCTAAAACAGATGCAAATGCTTCTTAGTTTCTAAATAAAGGATTACTGTTGCTTTAACACAAGTATTTAGTGATACATATCAGTATGAAAACTGTGTATTTGGGATGTTTTATGTAACTCAACTTCATCTCACAAAAATTTTCCAATATATTCCCATACACATTCCTCACTATGTAGATACCCTACTGTTTATGGATACATTTGACCATTTTCAGCTTACACATATCCATCCTATTATTCACCACTCATCAGTTCAAGTCTGAAGGTATATTTGGCCTTTTTAAAAAAAACCCACCAAAAAACAAGACCAATCTCATCTCCAATATTTAGAATAATTTGTATTTGTTATGTAAGCAGGCATGAATGATTAAAAAGCATCTCCTTTGCACAGTTACCTTGACTTACAGTGGATGGTGTGGATAGCTTCCTAATGCACCAACAAACCTTTGAATTGCCATGGCTTGTATTTGCCCTGTAGTAATTACTAGCTATAGTTTTAGTTTGAACTAACTCAGTTTCTTTTGAATAACACTGAAACTGTAACATCTTCAAAAGTGCTCAAAGTGCTTCGATCTTTCCGAGTGCCATCTATGCATAACTAAGCCAGACAAGCAGAGAAACCAGAAACCCATTCTGTGCAAATGAGCAGCAAGCAGGCATGAGATCCAGAATGCTTCCTTACTGCCTAGTGTCCATTTTCTTTAGCAAATGTAGCTTGATTTTATTTACGGTTAAGTTTAGATCCTTAAGTCTTTAAGGAGGCAGGATTGGGCCCACAGTTACAGTAGAAACTGTTGGTGTTTACATCTTCATGACTGACTTGTGTAAGTCTTTTTTTTTTAAAAAAGCCAATTACTAGAAAATAGTAGCCTCATGAAATATGTACTGCTCAGCTTTAGTAGGCGCACGCTGTATAAAATACAGAGTTTGTAGTCCTCAATTACATGTCCTCATGGCTCCTTCTTAAGATACTGTTTCTTCAAACAAGCTTATGCATGTTTTAAAATAGAAGCACCAACTCTCTAGACTCCACTGAAAAAGTAACTAGGTGATTTAGTGAAAGAGCACATGCCTTACCTCCCTTGATACTCCTAGCTTAAGGCATGGAGGACAGTTTCATAACTCGGTCCATTCACAACTCCCCACTGAAATGTCAAGGCAAGTCACCTTCTGTGAATTCACAAAGCGGTTATTGTTAGAAGCAAGCAAGTTTTATGGCTGCAAAATTTGTCAGTGCTTTATTTTTAAGAAATAAAGAGTTGATTGAAACAAGTGAAAATTACCTTTTCCTAGAGTATGTAAATATTTAAGTCCATTTCAGAAGTTGAGCTTAGCATTCCAGAGGGATTTCAGAGAGGCAATTGTGCAACTATCAGTCTTGAGAGCCGAGATTTAGACAGCATTCAGAAAGCTGACACAGTAATTACTAGCAGTGGTTTTGGCATGGGATCTGATGGAGGTTGGGCTTCTTAACAGGCCCTGCAAGGGTTGTATGTTATCATAGCAAGCGCATTACATGTGCTCTCAAAGTACAGCAATGCCACCCCCCCTCCTGTCTCATTTTTTTGTATCATAATCAATGTCTCGCTCATGGTCTTGTCAGATCTTGTATGCGCGCTGAGGTGGAGTACTATCATTTGCTGACTAATCAGTGTTCTGTATCAGTGATTTTTCAATTTGTGACTTGCATTTCACTTCTAAAAATACTGAAATGGAAGCACAAACTCCTTCATAGGCATTAGCCTTAAGTTCACTAATTCATTCTCCATCATTTCTTTTGCAGATTCATTCCTAATAGGATAGGATCTGTGAGGCACAAAAAATCATGGCTCAATACCATGTGAGCTGATGTGATGGATGTTTTATTTGTGAATGGTGTTAACGTGATAGGAAGTAATTTTAGAATTAGTGCTATACTTGTACTGTGCTGCTTAAGTCTTTTTGACAAATGGATTTCTCCAGTGTTCTGACCCCCCATAGACAATGGTTCTGCTTGCACTTACAGAACTGGAAGGAAGAACTGCTGTTACAGGACTACTAGAGATTTTGAACTCACTTGCTAATCAGAACTACGTTATCGCTTCCTGGGGCTGTATGCTTATATTTAATTTTACTATGAAAATCTGCAATTCCCATTACTGGGAAGGGTCCAACTTGACTGTGTAATGCAAGAATTTCCAGGGTTAAGCTAGCTTTAAAGGAGATTGTCTGAAAAGGAAGAACATCATCTTTACTAAAATCAGGAGGGCTGAAGTCAGTACAACCGAGACTCTAATGCTCTGCTGCAGACAACAGAACACTGGTTTGGCCCTTGATTCACTTCTATTAAAGCTCATAGCCTCCTGTCTAGAGTTCTTCTTAAATGCCTGGCTAAAGTACACTGGGTATCTGGTAGTGAATAAAAAAATCCCACTTCTGTTGACACAACGGTGATCACTGGTAGTCATGATCAAGAAAACCATCACACTTAAAGAGGATGTGATTAGGTCTTGCACATTATAAACAGATACAGTCAGAAGCTATTTTGATTATACTGTTTGCTTGGATGATCAATACTGGACTGAATTCAAATTTGAAAAAGCATAGCAGAGTTGTTCTTTCTCGAACAATTGTTTATAAAAGGCAAATAGTGGTGTTAGATTGCAAATTAATCCTGGGGCACCTGGTTTACAGTCCTGCTTAGGAGTCTGCCCATCCCTCATGTTGCAAATACATATAATGGATCTTTCCTCTTAAAGGAAGATTACACATTTTCATAGAAAGCCCATTTTTGAACAAATTTACCATAAGCATAAGCTATTACTTGTTTCTGTACCCCATTTTCTTGCAGTACCATACTGTGAAGGGGTTTTCTTGACATGTATACTGCACTGATGTAGCTGGCCCTCAATTGTTGGTTGACTTTTCTTTAGGTGGAATTTTTTCTGTTGGTGGGGGGAGGAAGAAGGAAGTTAGTGTTAAGAAACTGGTCATATTCTTGATTCTCAAGAGAGAGACAAATTAAACTGTTTTGGGTGGGTTGGTTTTGGTTGGGGTTTTTTTTTTTTCCTTTTAAACAGCCATATAACACCATATTGTACTTGCTGAATTTAGGATATTTGTGTAGATGAAGCACAGACCCAGAGAACATCTTTGCTTATAGTCTTGGACTTAATTTCTCCTGCCTTCAGAATGTTGACTTTTACACTGTCCGTCCGTCCCCCACCCTGATAATCCATTCTGAATTTCCTAAACAAAGCCCTGTGAGTCAGCTTGTTCCTTAGACTATGATTACTTACTCAATATAAAGCAATCACCAACACATTTTTTCTATTGTAAATGGGCCAGATAAAGCATTGATCACACATTCAAAATAAATCTGAATACAGCAGGACAGTTTAAGCTGAGATTATTTCAAATCACTAGATTTCCAATTTGTTTGAAATACCTAGAAAACTTGAAGCTGATTTAAAGTATCTTAGTGCTTAAGTTTGTTAATAATAGCAACTGCTTTATATAAAAGAAGCTTTGGGATTCTGATCTAAGTAGTCAATAATTCTGTTTATTGGAGCAAAGGCCATTTGCTAGGCTACTGAAGGTAATACTTAAAAACAGACTAGGCTGTTATGTTGGCTACACTGGAAACCATAAACTCATTAGGAAAAGATATATCTAAAGATAGATGGCTACTAGAAAGTTAAGAGGTTGTTCTGGAGAACTTATTTTGCCTGAATAACTGGCAGTTTATGTACAAGAACTGAAGTTGTTGATGCACAATTGCCATATATCAATAGCTTTACTGAACATATTTTTCTTTGTTCAATACAGTTTAATTCTGTAAGAGAACTTACGTATTTTGTACTTTAGTTTTGCATTCAGACACAAAATAACAAGTTTGGTAAAGTTTTCCTATTGGCAAGTATTAGGACAGAAGGCCTTTCTACAGAGATATTTAATTTCTTGAAATACTGAAATTTCAGATGAGATATGAACTCATCAAGTTTGCATTTCTGATATTTATGTCCTTCTCTCTTTTGAAGGGAATGAAAACTGCAGGAAACCTGTCAAGGACTGTGAATTTCTAGGGTCGTGAGGCATCACCAGAGCACGGTGCATAATGTCAACTGCAGGAGTCGCTGCTCAGGAGATGAGAGTCCCATTAAAAACTGGGTTTCTTCACACTAGTCAAGGCATGGGGAGTCTGAAAACCTGCTGGGGTAGCCACAGTGGATTTGAAAAGTGAGTGAGGCTAAAATGTGATCTATTGCATCTTCAAGCATATGAGATGAGCGTTAAGAACACTTGTACCAGTACCAACCTATGGTTTATTTACAGCAAAGGCTTTTTTTTTTTTCCTTTTAGTACTTTCTTTAATGTGGACCCTATAGCAGTGGCATATAATTTGAATCCGTCAGAGCAACATTTACCATCCATTCGTAAGTATAAAGACTAACACATATGTATTTAGGTAGTGTAATGGATTTGTCCTGGGGGGAAAAAAAAAATCCTCAAGTCTTCACTAAGACACCAAATGCTTTCTCATTCTGGATATAAGGCTGCCCTCTGGTGACAGAATGCAAACATTTCAAGAAACTATTACTGTTCAAGCCCAACCAAAACACAGTTTAAATAACATGATCAAGTTAAAACAAACAAAAAAAACCCTTTTCCTTGTACTTAGAGGCCTCTGAGTTGCCATTACACTTCTGACAGAAAAATCATTTAGTAAAATAGCACTACAATGGACTACAATGGAACCATTGTAGTCCTCTACTGGGATCTTCGTAGCTGTAGCTCTGTTCTGTTCCTTATGCTTGGGGTCTCTACCTCATTTAACTGGAGCACTGGCCTAAAAAAATAAGGTAGTCAGCTGTTCTCTTAACTAAATGCATAAATCCATGACCAGAAAAGGTCTATAATAGCTAAGTTTTGCTACTGGAGTGATGAAGCAGCCATTACTTATTGTTGCATTAGAAGGAATTAAATAGTTAAATATGCAGTGGCAAAGTCACACACTGGAGTGTTACTTAGAAAAGTGTTTCTAAGACTTTCTCACCTTTTTAGGGCACTCTTCCAACCATGCTTCCATGAATGACCACAGCTTTGCTGAAAGTTGCTCCCAAGTCCCATCTCAGAAATCCAGTCCACCTCCTGTAAGTCCCAAAAACGAACAGCCAATTTCAAGATATGAAGACAGTCTCGTTCCTGGCTTTAGTAAACTGTCATTAACCATGGGATGTGTTTCAGAAGAAACACCTCCTCACATGCCAATAAAAAATGGGCCAATTCAATTTCTGTCTGCATCTTCCAACGACCGTAGCTCCAGGCCACTACCCCCTCTGCCTATTTCTGAAGACCTTACTCCAGATGAGGTTGACAAAGAGGTGGAATTCCTGACTAGCTCAGATACTGACTTTTTGTTAGAAGATTATGAACTTCCTCCTTTTAAATCCAGTGCTCCAAGCCGTCGGAGCTTTAGGGGCTGCGGACAAATCAACTATGCATACTTTGATGCTCCAACAGGACCAAAACCAGAAGATGCCAACCCTACGCAAAGCCTGCATGGATACATATCCAGTATTTATCCTCCTCCACAGCAGCTGCATCGACGTTTGCGAAGGTCCCATTCTGGACCAGCTGGATCTCTTAATAAACCTGTAGTAAGACTATCTGGACACTTAAACAGGTCTTCTCCAAACTCTGATGAAGATAAACCGGAGATTCCACCAAGGGTTCCCATACCTCCAAGGGCTCTCAAGCCAGATTACAGAAGGTGGTCAGCAGAAGTTGCTTCTAGCGCGTACAGTGATGAAGACAGGCCTCCGAAAGTGCCCCCAAGAGAACCTGTGTCACGCAGCAATTCCCGTACGCCGAGTCCCAAAAGCCTGCCATCATACCTCAATGGGGTTATGCCCCCCACTCAGAGTTTTGCACCTGATCCTAAGTATGTCAGCAGCAAAGCTCTACAAAGACAAAATAGTGAAGGATCTTCCAACAGGGTCCCTTGCATTCTTCCAATTATTGAAAATGGTAAGAAGGCCAGTTCAACACACTACTATCTGCTGCCTGAAAGGCCTCCATATTTGGACAAGTATGAGAAATTCTTCAGAGAAGCAGAAGAAGGTAGCTCTAACACAGAGGTTCAGTCCTGGTCTGGTGACTGCACAGCCACTTCAGCCCCAACAAAACTGGACTCAAAACCTAGAACGGACATAGCTGGTCATCTGAAACGAAAACACCTGTCTTACGTGGTTTCCCCATAGTCTCTGGGAGCACAGTCTCAGCTCAGTTGTTCAGGATGGAGCTGAACTTTATCATGTTACAAAGTTCTAAAGGTTCTCAGATAATGAAGTAGGATCAGTTTGTCCTCTGAGAACTGGAAAATGGATGGTAAAGTCCTCTTATGCTGCATATCTCTGATATGTTTCTTAAGACTGTTTTTTGTCTTGGTATGTATAGCTGAAAACCTACAAAGATTCCATAGAAACATATGGAGGGACAGTAGTCACAGTTGGCCAGTTATATGCTACCTAGATGAACGTATTTGGTAGTCACATTATCAAAAAAAAAAACTAGCTTTGCTTACAAGTCACTTATAAAGCTGACAACAGAGCAGATAATGCAGTACAGTTTTTTTTATCAGGCATTTCCAAAATTTCTTTCACACAGTAACTCTGCTGAGAACAGACTCCTACCCTCTTTGACTAGGATATGCCAACCTGGTAAGAAGGTAACTGCAAGATCTGATACCCACTTCAAGACTTGGCAAGCACATTGGAAGCACGTTTCGAAAGATGAATCTGTCTTACAACTTAATTTGACACTAATAGACTTTTTAAAGTGAGTTAGGTTTTGTGGATTCTTCCAGTTGCTAGACACACTGGCTCAATTTTGCCGTTTTTCCTAGGAGAGACTTGGACCAGCTATTGCTAAGCCTCTGCTGCTGCTCTTTTCCTGGTGGATCCTAGAAACGCGTGAACGTGTCCCGAAAGTGGCAGAGGATATGAGCAGCTGCTCTTAAGTAGGCAGTAACAATTACTTGCTCACCTAGAGTCTGAAATCCTGACTGTATTAAATACAGAAACGGAGCACAAGCTGGTCTTGTGTTTCAGTTTCTATTCAGTATTTTAGGGGAGGAGGAGGGTATGAGGAAAATATACGATTCCATTTATGAACAGTGTCAGTCCCATCTCTCGCTGCTTCAGATGCTGCTTCTTGCTGTTTAATTTTTCCTCATTGTGCCTCAGCGATCCACTAAAGTTCGTTGAGGTGCCACATTTGTGCATTAGCAGTTTCTCATGCTCATTTTGATTACGTTTATCCCCTTACAGATAAGCACAAGAGAAAGGGTGCTCATTAACGGAGGCACAGAAGATGAATGTGTTCCTCCTAACAGAAATAAACAAGCTGTTTACAGTTTAAACTGCTGAATGAGATGTTTGAGCTATTTTAAAGCTTACTTTTTATTTGTTTTAGTACAAACTAAATGAAGGTGAAATACATGCTATAGAAATGCACTGATATTTCTGCATCATGTACAGTATTGAATAAAAAAAGAATTCACTTTGTATTTTGAATATTGTCATGTCTTGAGTTTAATAAAGTTATAAAATATTTATGATACATTTTGGTTTTTGCTTTATTGAATAGCATACACAATTGTGATTTGAGTTCTGCATTTACTGGAAAGTTCAAAGTGAATAGTGTTAAATGTGCAACAAACGTTGAATTCAGCTTGCATTTAATTAAAATTAAGATTTCTGCAGTCATGTTCAATAACTCACACTGTGCACCATGAATTTTAATTCCTCCTTACTACCTAGTAGCCTGGTGTCTATAGTTCTGTGCTGGCCATAAAACATCCTGTAAGATTAAGTTATTCAGCCTATCATTATTAATAACGTTTCTTATTTCTGGAGTCATAGCATGTTTGGCACCATCATACAGAAAAGAGGGGGTGGCAGTGTTCCTGTCTTCAATTTCTCACCTGGTAAAAAGGAGCCAAATTGGTCATTAAGGGTGACTGAAGAGGAGCTACTCGTATTCTGAGGATGAAAAAAGCTTAAGCACAGCACAGTAACTTTTTTCCTTTTTAAGAGGGAAAAGAATTTGCAAATACTCATCGCAAAGCGAGTATATTTAACTGTAGTATGTGAGCCATGGATAAGGTCACCAAAGATACAAAGCATCACACAACTTTGATCTTTTAGCTGTGTATGCAGGTAAATACTTGCCTTGATCTGTCAGTCTGAAGTCTTGACCTTTTCTGTCAATGAGCTTATTTCAGAATAAAGCAGGTTACCATCCTTGGAATTATACTCGACAGAAAAAATGTCAGATGTAGTTTTTCAGTAATGCCTAATTACTCAGCTTTTATAGCTGGGGAGATTGCTAAGCTTCATTTATGTAAGTGCTTAAAAACCTACTGCTGTGCCATAAGACTGCTAAGAACCCACACAGATTGGCGTCCAAAACATAAACAAGTTATCTAATGCTGTGCAAGGCTGTTGACTATAATATTCATCCTACTGAAAGCTTTACTTCCCCTCCACCCCCTAGATTTTTCTAAGGTGGAAAAAGTCAAACTGGCACTTGCAACCTTCCCCTTAAATCTGAGCAGCTTTAACCCTTAGACACCAAAATAACATGCCTTCTCCATTACATGATCACTGCTGCAGCAAATGGATCAACGCTGCTAAGCTGCGGCTCATTCCTTGTTGAGTGACTTGGCACAGACTCAGTAGTTATCATTTCAGTAGAACTCAGTCTAAAATCAAGCAACTGCCCTGCAAATCTGCTAGCTTTTGCCTCTGGGTCCTACTCCATTCCTGATACTTGGAATCCCTCTTGTTAGCCTAGGTTCCTGTGCTTGAACAGACAGCTTCCCCTTACCTGGAAGCACTTGAATTCCCAAAGCCTCAAGACTCAGTTTTGCCCTTAACAGCATTTCCTTTCAAATTAGTAGCAAAGCCACTCTTGGATGGGAAAAAGAAAGCTGCCCCATCCAGATACCCCATAGTAAGCCTCTTCCCTGCTGTCAGTGGGATTGTTTTGGCTTCAAGCATTTGAGGAGAAGCCACATGGCTAGCATGCACACTGAGAAATGAACCCCTCAACAGGGAGGCCAGCCCAGGCACTCTGTATTACTGGGTGTATAAGGCATTGCATTTGGATGAAGTAAAACTGCAAGTCTGAGCCATTGCACTTGCAGCCAGGTCTCATTCACTGTTCTCTTCGTGAATACAGTGATGGGATAAGCTTTCTGTCCTAACTTGTTGCACTTCACACCAGCCTGATGCTATTGCTTAGCATTTGCACAAGGCAAGCTAAAGAGACTCTAAAGTGACTAACAGCTGAACGCATCTTGGTATAAAACGGGGTATTTGGTACAATTTCCCCAGCCCTGCACCCTGGGATTTATTTTCACTTCTGTTAGCAGTGGAAGTTCCCTAGCCATTGGGCTAAAACCTTTTCTGCTAGCATAGCAGCAAGATGTTTTTACTTCCTCAGAATAAGGTCTACTTCTGACTACAAACTATTTTCATATTTATAGTGCTGAAAAGCTTAAAAACCTTACAAAACTTGTGCTTTTGAATGAGCTTACACAACCTTTTCTGAAATTCCAAAAAAGTGTAAAACTTTTAACCTAACCTGCATTATGTTTTCTCTCCTACAGAAAATGAGGATTGCATACTCCTTTCCTGAAAGTACTGGTATTGTCTACTCAGTCCTGAGTATTTAAAAAAAAAAAAAATTACTCTGTAGTGATGCTATCTTTCCTACTGTGTATCAGCTGAATAACAGCACAGCATTAAGTCTCATTCCAGAAGTTAAACGATGAACTTAAGTTTAATGCAACTGTAACTGAAGTAAAACAGACAATTTGAATTGAAAACAGTGACTGGAATTGCTTGGCTACAAGCAAGACATTCAAGCAGGTTACAGAGCTCACGTGCCTCTTCAGTATCAGGAGAGTCATTTATAGGCAAGTCTTACAGTATTTCAGCAACTTGGCTGTTTTCCCTTTAAAAATCCGAAGTAATAAGGTTTCACTGAGGACTTGGTCCACAGTTCAGTGGTTCTCTCTGGGTGACGATGAGGGGTGTCGCTGACAAAGGCAGGCAGAAGCCTCGCTCGTGTATTTTTAGACACCAGATTCCTGTGCTTTGGGGGACAAAGTTTGCATGATCCAAAAATTGTATACCGTTTTCCAAGTGAGTAATTAAGGCTGTAGAGCTGTGGGGGAAGCTTTGCAAGTTCTGGCCAGAAGACATTTCTCTGCTCATCCCCTGACACGTGATAAGACTTGTCAGGACACAACATGCTTTTGCAACAGCCTGATCACATGTTTGAATATTTAGAGCTTGGGCTCACCTGGGCAAGGCCTGACAGCTTAGCTCTGAGGAGGAAGCCCCTTGCCAGATATAGATTTGACTGGAATAATCACACTTCAAAGCAGTTACGACTTGATACACTGAAGTCTGAAGAGTCAAGGAATTTGTGTTAAAGGAGGAAAGAAAGAAGCGCATCTAAGGAAAGGCAATGCTTCCCACAGCCTCCCAATTCAAGAAGTGGGCTACAAATACTGCTCACCCCCTCCCCCCCCCCCCAGCAGTCTCCTCCTTGCCTCAGCAGTGCTGTTGTGACCACCCAGCCATGTTAGTGAGGACCCATGGGTCCCAGGAGGCAGCTGTGCTGGGGCAAAGGGAGTTGTACCGCAACAAACTACAGAGGGCTGGATCCAGAGCAGCCCTACGGCCAACCCACGATCACAGAGCAGACCTCTGAGATGTGGCTGGCAGCAAAGTTGGTGAGAAGGGGGGGGTG